TTGCTTTACCTATTGAACTGTCTTTATCTCAACATACCTCCATTACTCATTTTTATATGAAGTTATCAGACTATTTAAATTAATATTTGTTATTATTTGTCAAGCGTCAACAACCCATTTTGCATTATGCAAAATAAAACTTGAAGACAATCCACTCCCTGAGGAGACTTCAGTCAAAATGTTGGATATTCTCATGCTACATAGATTCTTACAGGGAACCAGATCATCCAAGCAGATACAGCAAATACACAAAACAAAATACTCGTGAGGTTTCTATTAAATACTATATACAATCTTATTTCCAGGGCTGGAAAACCAAAATTTAAGCTGCCAAGAGAATGAATTTCACCTTTGACATCACCATTCCTGGCAAGATGCAAAGAAAGAAAAGAAAGGGACAAGTGATCTTAATTCAGGAAGAGATTGTTAAGAGAACTGCTCCAGGAAGCAGATACACCAGCAAACACCCTCATTTCTCATGTATGCATGCACAAATACATCTAAAAAGCAATTCTGTATGCAAAATTGCAACATTCTGGGCAAACATTAACAAGTAATTGCTGCTAAACCCTACAACAACCCTGCTGTTATCCATCACAATATATGCTGTAAAACACTGAAGACTTACATGCAACTTTTCCATGAACTTGGAAAAATAGTGGAAGAAAAGCAAAACAAAAAAAAAAATCACCACTAATTGCTGGAGTATTGATTCCAAAGGTAAGTTACCATCTGATTGAAAAACACATGGAAATCAGAAAATGAGTCTGACTAACAAGCATCTGTCCAAATATCTTGTTTCAAATGAAAACTGAACCTTGACTAATTTTAAAATATTAAATTACCATAATTAGAAAATAGTTTCCCAAAAAATCAGCAAGGGAGGCATGATGTTAGCATACCAGTACTTTCGATACCTATAAAGTCTATGAAAAACTGAAGGAGGAAAGGACTTGAGCCAATACTGGCACCTAAGAATTATCTCTACTTTTTGGAGTAGCACTCCAGCAGAATAAGTCCATGGGACTGGACATGTGCACTCCAATAATCCTTCCATGCAATACTCAAAGAACTCTAACAACAGTATTGCTTGCAATAGCAAAAATTTATGGGAACCTGATAAGGGTAGGTCTAAAATGCTTAAGGGATTGGAGTATTTGTTATGAGAAGAGAGGCTGAGAGCTGGGATTCTTCAGCCTGGAGAAGAGAAGGCTCAGGGAAATCTTATCACTGTGTATAAATACTGATGGAGGGGAATAAAGACGACAGAGCCAGATTCTTCTCAGTGGTATCCAATGAACAGACAAGAGAGAATGGTCACAAATTTAAATATAAGAAAAACCCGTTTTACTTTAAGGGTGATTGAACATTGGAACAGATTGCCCAGAGAGGCTGTCAAGTCTCCATCCCTGGAGACTGAATATTCAAAACCCAACTGGACAAGATCCTAAGCAACCTGCTATAGTTGACTCTGCTTTGAGCAAGGGGGCTGGCTGAACTAGACAGTCTCCAGAGATCTCGTAACTTCAACCATTCTGTGAAGATTCAGGTTACATTAAAATAGTGACAAAAGTTTACATCTTCAGACCTTCCTGTGTTCACTGGCTGCTTTCTAAACAAATCAAACTTCAGAAACCTTAAAAGCATGGTGTGAGAGAAGGTACTACAGCCCTAATGCTTGGAAGAGGCAAAGGGAAATCGGTCAGTATATCCTGTGGAAGCTAAAATCCTGCTGCTAACATAAGATCACATGGATTGACTTATGAGGATTTCGAGGAATGTAACAGATAGGAGATCTACTTTTAAACAGAGACACTGTGTGCAGCACATCAGTCCAAACACAGGAGCTCTTGAGCATCTGCAAGACACCTCTCATCAACACACACTGAATGTCTTTAGCTATCCCAGAGTGCAGAAGGGGTTAGTGGAAGAGTAAAAAGGTAATGTAGACTGTGGATTTTTAACCAAAGGAGGGCATCTAACGTTACAGCGTGGTTAAATTTTTTCCAGCATTGTTTCAAACATGCCAGTCAGAATTGGATGTTACTGTCCAATTTTTTTGTGGGGTGGTGATTTTTTTGTTTGGTTGGGTTTTTTTCGTTTTATTGGGTTGGGTGGTTTTTTTTTCATTGGTTGGGGGTTTTTTTAGGTTGGGGGTGGTGGTTGTGGTTTTGTTTTGGGTTTTTTTTTTTGTTGCTATTAATGCAAGTCAGTTATCCCAAGAAAGAAATAAGTCCTGTGTTCTTGGTGCAGAGGCTGCTACCTGATCTACTCTTCCATTTCATACCAGACTGACCCCAGCAAACACTTTCTCCATACTGCAAGGAGGCCCTCATTTCCTGCCTAGAATCCTCAACTCTTCCCATCGCACCCTTTTAACTATTCCCGAACAGTTTCACAAGCGGAGAGGTCAATTTCCTTAGGAAATTAGGACTTAAAAAAAATAATAAAGCTACTTTAGCCTAGTAAACAATTCCCCTTAACAGAGGTTTCTCTAGGAAGCAATTCAAAGTACTTAAGTTAGGCCTGTTCTCTCTCCCCACTGACTAACAAGCATAGAGGAAAAACTATTCTCCCTGCACTGAAGTCAGCTGTTGCGATTACTCTGCACAGTAACAATTTTCAACAGAGCGACTGCTTTCAGAGTTCTCCAAACTCCGCCTTTAGAAAAGGCTGCTAACTATTCTCTTGAACAGAATACAAAACCAAAAAGAATACAAAAAGCTACACTGAAATTTTATTTTTCAAGAAACTTCACTGCTTTTTTGTAGAAAAGACTAGAGCATTCTTCCAGCTAGTATTTCTGAGAGAGATCAGTATAAGAATGACTGCTGAAAGAAAAGTTAAACCAAAATACAGATTTGTGGGAAATTTTAATGAATGAGCAAAAAAAAAAAAAAAAAAAGGAAATATTTTTCATAAAGAAAAGTACTTCCCTGACTTTTTTCCCTTTTTTAATGAATGAGGAAAAAAAAAAAAAAAAAAAGGTAATACTTTTCATCAAGTAAAGTACTTACCTGACATTTTTCCCTTGTTCTCTCAAGATCTTCACTAGATCAGCTATAGGGTACTGAGCTTTTGCTGCACACAAACCATAACCTGAAAGAATTTCCAAATTTTAAGCTATTTTTCTGTTTCAGTGCAGACAGAATAGTTATTACTTTGGTGTCAGTATGACCTTTTTTGTAGGTGGGCAGAGAAGGATGAGGTGGAACAGGAGAGACATGGAGGGTTCTCACCATCACTGGAAGCACCCAACTTCGGAGACTGGGACAACATTGGGCGCATTGACATAATTTACGTAATTTTACATAATTTTTTTTTTCCTGAGTTGGAAGGGACCCACAAGGATCATCGAGTCCAACTCCTGTCCCTGCACAGGACAACCCCAAAATTCACACCATATGTCTGAGGGTGTTGTCCAAATGCTTCTTGTCTGTATGTACATCCAGGGTCGCCATGTCCCAGGTGCAAAATTTGGCACTTGCCCTTGTTAAACTTCATATGGTTGGTGATTGCCCAGCTCTCTAATTTGTCTAGATCTCTCTGCAGGGCCTCTCTGCCCTCGAGAGTGTTAACAGTTATGAGGAATAAGTGTACCTTCCACACAAACAGAAGCTCTCATAATTAAAAATAAACAAAAAACCAATATATACATCAGATACTCATATATTCCTAGGGGAGTTTCAGCCTGACCACTGTAATTCAGTAGCCGAATATGGCTTTTAGCAGCAAATAATCTTTTCAGTCTTTCTATCTAAATTAAGTCAGCAGAGCAATAAAGCCCAGGAAGAAAATGCAGAGTATAAATTATTAATGGTGTCCTCAAGGTTTGACCACAGGAGCAAAAGACAAACTCCTTGAAGATGTTTGCAAGCTTTGTTTGAAACAAAGGTAACTTCCCAAATTAGAACCCTATCTAACTGATGTTTTCATTTAAGCTGAAGCAAAATAAAAGACTACTTTGTTTTTTAGCATTCTTCTCATTCTGATGCTAAAATATAATTTAACACAATAGTTGTGCCATTCAGTTGAAAGAAAACAAGTCTTGAACTACTCCCCACCTGACTTCTAACAGGAAATGTGCTATTGAACTATGTAAGTCTATGGCCAACATAAGAGTTTCAGAAAACTCAGTATTTTGGTTTTCAGGTTTGTGGGGGTTTTTTCTACTTTAATTCCAGTATTTATTGGATACTAATTAAGTTTGAGATTTTTTTCTGCAGGCTTTTTAACAAAACAATGCAGAATTGAGCAAGCAGACAAGAAGCATAAACAAAATCCTCTCTTTCAGTAACTTAAGGGACAGATATTTTGTTATTGGTACCATTGGTACTGTGGTAGTGCTTGGAAACTCGCACCACAACAGCTGTACACAAAGTTAACTGCAAACATAATTTACAAAAGACAGCCTTTGTCCTGAAGAATTTAAAATCTAAATAAATAGGACAAACTTTGAAGAGACACACACAAGGAAAAATAAAGTAGCATACACATTTCTACACAGAGGAATAACGACTAGCCTGTGAACAAAAACAGACCCCACAACTCCAGTCAACATTTAACATGCTGCTGCTATGTTGAAACTGCAAGACAGGCTACAGGTTGCTTTGTTTTGGTTTTTTTGTTTGTTGTGTTGGTTTGGGTTTTTTTAATAATACATCCTCTGAACATCTTGCTGTATGAGTCAAGAGTGTCTTACCTGGAGTAATAATAATGTTATTGGCTTCCTTTATCATTTCAATTGCATTATCCACATTGATTTCCGTGTGGGTTCCAGTAATTTCCATGGGCTTCCCACCAGCTGTTGATGTGGTGCCATAGCCCCCTAGAATCACATTTGCAAGGGAACGGTTCATAGCCTGAAAGACAAGAGGATTTTTGATAAGCTAAAGATGAAATCCCAAAACAAAGGAGAGGGGATGACCACAAATAAAACTTCTGAAGATATTAAAGCCTTCCTGACAATAGTCTTTGTCTGCTGGTTTTGCCTGTTTTCAACTCAAAACTTCTTAAAACAGGCTCCCTTAAAACAGAGACCCAGATTAAAACAGCAATAGCCAAACATCAGCTTCTAAACACATTACAGACGTAACAAGAGATCATCATCATTTCCCCAAGGCAAAGAACAAAACAACACAAATTAAAAACACCTCAGCAAATATTGGTCTCTTTCTGTTCTTAAAAGGGAGGGCTATAAAAGAATGCATATTTGATGACAGATTTTTATTTTTTATATATATATAAATATAAATAAAATATACACACAATTTTTGCAAGATATTTTCTTAAGTTCTTGAGCAATTCAACATGTAAGCACAGAACTGCTATATGGCAGCATGGAAGACACATAGCTCTTACAGGTAGCACAGAAGCAAAGCTCCTACAACATCAAGACAGAAAAGAACAGAACAAAGCTAAGTAGCCACACAAAACTAACCAAATGCTAACTCAAAACAAATTGTAATGAACTGAAGAGGGCCATTGACTTACTGTCAGAGCACCAAAGGAGAACAAGAGATCTTAAACTAGGAGCTTTAAGAGAAGAACACATCCTGAAAATTTGGCTCTGTAGATATATAGCCAGGAAAAGCCACTGGCTAAATGCTTTCACCAGCACATCTCCTTGTGAGCGTGATCAATATCTGGAAGTAGGCAAAACTTGTAATTGCAGTAAACAAAACTTCATAAGCAGGAAAGGAACAGGATAAACCGCTTCTTTAAACAAACGTGTGTCACAGATCTGCTGTGCTAGCTCAGAAACTACAGCAAAATTTAAGAATCGATCTGGAGAGACACACATACAAGCAAGAGGAAACACCCACATAAAAGTATGCTTCCAAGTGTCCATTTTCCAATGACATTTCAAATCATGCAACTCCACAGGTTTTTGCTATAGCCTGAGATGTGCAGTTCTGAAATTCAGCATCTAGCAAATAAGCACAACAAAGATGTTAGAAGAACTTTTGTTTATCCTGATACATCATCGCTATTTCAGATACTGTAAGGCAGCCACACAAACGCAGGCTCTGTGAAATCAGCATCTTTCTACTGACTGCAGTGAGCAGTAGTTCATATCCTCTAGGAACATGCTGCCTTTGACATGTATCACAATATTAAACCTTCAAAGAGAAAAAACACACTACTTAGTATATTGCATCAGTTAAGTGTCAGGTAACACAGTCTAGACAGAAGATACCCTCTTCAGATGTTACGCACGCTAAGCTTACAAGCAAAGCGCTTTCTACTCGTATCTAAACCAAAAGACAACAGTAAGACCAGACCAAAGGAAAAAAGTTCAAATATTAGAAATCTGAAAATCCACACAAAGCAAGCATGAGATTGAAGCACCCTTGCCTGGCTATGCACCACAGAGCCGAAGAAAGAGGAGGGAAGTCTGGCAAAAAGAGGGTGGTACAGAAGGCTTCAAAATGAACCAGGACCTCATCAAGCAACAATTAACCAATGCAGCTAAGACCTACCCAGCACAGGGGTACTGTGGTAAGTCTTCTATAGCCTCTTTCACCTTCTTTACCACCACAGACCACAAACATATGAACAAAGTGCAGGCTTCACCATTCGCGGATAATCCAACTACCAGCAAAAAGCTCTCTCTGATGTGCGTACACAGGTGATACTGGCCAGGAGCTTCCACACAGGGAAAACCAAACCCCTCATCCCTGAGAACTCCAAGTCCTTCCACACCACACTGTGCCCACATAAACCACACAGCTAGTACAGGTGATGGGCCAGCATACAATTCATAACATTAACACAATTTGTCCCTTCTCTTGCTCTCTTTCATCACCCCAATTAATGGTTTTCTCTTCTATCTGAAGCATTCCATCTTCTCATTCTATCTGAAGATGCCTTCTTTGCCTCAGTCTTTAATAGTCAAGCTAGTCATCCTTAGGGTTTTCGGGCCCCTGAGCTGGAAGCTGGAGATAGGATGCAGAATGAAGCCCCGGTTGTCGAAGAGGTGGCAGTCACTGACCTGCTCCTCCACCTGGATGCCCACAAGTCCATGGGGCCAGATGGGATCCACCTGAGGATACTGAGGGAGC